TTAGTTTTCTAGAAATGGCCATAAAGTGCCCCCAGGAAGGAGCATCTTTTTCTCATTTGCAAATTACCTTCTGGGCTAGTGGCATGTCTGGGCAAACTTGTAGCCTGCATTCTTTTCGCGTGACTTTGCTGTCCACGTCTTAAAACTGGGACATTTCATATTTTAAAAATCCAAATCTCAAACATTTATTTTCTTTCCTTTCTTTTTAAAAAATGATCTGTATTTGGCCACACCCATCTGCTTTTCTGTAGGACAACAATTAGCTGGAGCTGAGTGGCAAATGTCCCCTTCAGACAGGATAGGAGATCTCTCGGGCTTGCCGCAGTCTCCACGACTGACTGTTGTCACCCCGACAGTGGTGCCACTTGCTGGTGGCCATTTATCATCACCTTAGTGCTGCTCTTTTTCTTTGTGGAGAGAAGCAGTCTTGGTTTCTCGATTCTCCTTACACTTGGCTCACCGTCTGCACGTGTGATTATCTGTTGGCCTCTGAAAGCCCCTGAGTTTGCAACTCTTGGTCTAAACCAGGGCGAAAGGGAAGCAGACGACAGCCTCCTCTCACCTGGTGTATTCTCTCTCCTGTCTGATTGCAGCGGCCGCGGGCAATCAGCCCGGGGGGAACCCAGGTCCAGCAGGGGGCGCACCAGCATCCAAGTCCTGCTGCATGCAGTAGCCCTTCAGGACATCCACTCACCAGAAGGGCCCCGCCCTCGTGGAAAGAGATTCCCCAAGCCAGTGGAAAACCAACAACCTTGAGAAGTAAGAGTCCTAGAGTTTGAAAGTGGAACGAGAATTCAGCTTATATCTAGTGGTTTTCTTTCCATCATTTTTTCAGTTTTGAGTACTTGTTTTTTGCGCTAAAACCAACCTTTTAGATTTCAGACATCAGACATTTCATCAGGGCCAGATTCACCTGCTTGCTTAGAATGATTTTTGTTCTTATACTTTCATTGTATGTTTTCTTATAACAAATGTCAATCATCCTCAAAAGTAGAGAATTGTACAATGCTCCCTCCCTGCCTCATCACCCAGATTCCAGTATTAAAATTTTGCCACGTGGGGCCTGACTGGCTCAGTCAGTCGAGCGCCTGACTTTGGCTCAGGTCATGATCTCGCAGTTGACGAGTTCGAGCCCCATGTCGGGCTCTGTGCTGACAGCTCAGACCCTGGAGCCTGCTTCAGATTCTGTGTCTCCCTCTCTCTGCCCCTCCCCCAGTCACGCTAGCTCTGTCTCGATAATAAATGAACATTTTAAAAAAACTTTAAAAATGTTTTGCCATATTTGTTTCATCCATCGTTTTACATTTCATTTTTCCCTTTACATTTTTCCCTTAGCTGAAGTCATTTTTTTTCAGATTGATGGTATTTTTTTTTAAAGTTTATTCCTTTAAGTAATCTCTACACCCCATGTAGAACTCAAACTCACAACCCCGAGATCAAGAGTCTTACATTCTTCAGACTGAGCCAGCCAGGTGTCCCTTAGCTGAAATATTTACAAGCAAATTTCAGACGTATCATTTTATTCCTCCATTACACATCTTTAACGGCATCCACGCATTTCCTTATATAACCACACCGTTATCACATGCAGCAAATGAATGCCTCATATCCAGGGTGGTCGATGCTGTGATGAGGTGTGCAGACCCTTTCCTGAAGAGCAAAGGACATATGGTCCCCGCAGCTGTCCCTTGGAGATTCCCTCAGCCACAGGGAGATCCTTTACCCAAGGTCACGGCCTTTCCCGGGATGCCCTATGCCCAATGACGGACCTACGCCAGGTGTTAAGGCCTGGCCGCCTTGGTCCAACACAGGACAACTCCACAGGGCCACTCCAGTTCCAGGACTCTTGGTGGGGTCACCACGGCTGTCGCAGGGGCTCCATCACAGCTCAGCTTCTCCCTCTCTCCCTCCCCCCTCCCTTCCCTGCCCCAGGTGTGGGTCCCCTGGGTACTCCTTAATAATCATCCTGCAGACCAGGACCACTGCCAAGGCTGCTTTCTGGGGAACCCAACTGGCGACACCCATCATCCTTCATTACCTCTCTCGTTGTCGCACAAACGTCTTTATTAGTTGGTTTACCCAAACAAGTTTCACACTTTTAAGGTTTATTTTTTTTTTAAGTTTATTTATTTTGAGAAAGAGACTGTGCAAGCAGGGTAGGGGCAGAGAGAGAGAGGAAGAGAGAATCCCAAGCAGGCTCCATGCTGTCAGCACAGAACCCGATGCGGGGCTTGAACTCACGAACCAAGAGATCATGATCTGAGCTGAAATCAAGAGTCAGACACTTAGATGACTGAGGCACCCAGGCACCCCACAAGATTCACTTTTAAGTTTCACTGTTAGGTCTCTTTTGCCTCTTTTAATCCACAAAAGTGCTCCCTCCTCTTTTTCCTTTGCCAGTGACTTGTGGCACAAAGACTGTCAATTGTCCCTTATTCTGGATTTAACCCATTTGCCTCCTCGTGGTGGCATTTGACAAGGTCCTCTGTCCTCGGTTCTCCTCGAGGTGGCCATAAGCTCTAGAGCTTCCTCTTCCTCCCAGACAGAATCTATTTAAATCCGAAGCCAACGTATTAAAGCAGTTGCTTGGAGGAAGGGCCAGAGGGTTCTCCAAATTGCAAACCAGGACCTCTTATAACCTCCCTTTTTACCTAAATGAGGAAACTGGAGGCCAGTGAGGAGATGAGCTGGGCCAAGTTCATGGCACAGTTCCCTGGCTTCTCTCCAGAAGCAGATGCCCAGAGTCACAGAGAACACAGCGTGCATTGCACATGTCCCTGTGACTTCCCCTGATCAATCCCGGTGCCTGACATAGGAGCCCCAACCATGTTTGCTAGTCAAGGTGTCACTGGACAGGTGGGTCTTGAATCCTCATCTTTTAACTCTCAAGCTAGATGTCCTGCTTTCTGGAAATTGACACTCTCAGAGCAGTGGTCTTTAAATAGAGACATGTCCCTGGGCATGCCGCATATAGTGGTTAAGTAGCAGGGCAAGGGCCACCCTGGGAACAGAGATGCTGCCTCCAGTCCTGACTTTATTCCTTGGGCAGGTTCCCTCCCTTCTTCCCGGCCTCAGTTCTCCCCATCTGTCAAATGAGGGTCACAGCCTCGCCACACATCTCACAGGGCTCTGGTTAGCAGCAAGGAGACCATGTGCAAGGACTGCACCTTAGGTGGAATTCAGTGCCTCCTGTGATGTCCTAGGTACGGTCCACGATCTAATTCCATCCTCCCAACCCTACAGGGTGGAGACTATCACTAGCCCCACTTACCACATGATGAGGATGCTCAGAGAGATTAAGAAACTTGCCTGACGACACCCAGCTGGTAAGAGGTGGAGGCAAGACCCAAAGCCAAACAGCCCGACACCACCCTCCTGGCTTGTACCCATCTTCCCCACACCATAGTGCTTCTGACAGTCAGCCTTTTTAGAACATATGGGACCTCTGAGTCCCCATAAGCAATGCATCTTGCTTCATATTCGGGGAAACCGGGGGCCGGAGAGGTGGCTTGTCCCGGTTTGCATAATACAGAAGGCGCTGAGTTGGGTCTCAAGTATAGGTCTCAAGCTTCTAAATCTCCTGTGCTGGGTCTTGCACCATTGAATGTGTCTTTGAGGGGATTATTTTTGTGACTCTGTGGCTTGGTGGCCTCCCTAGCTGTGTGCAGTCAGTCATCAGGCCATAGACAGGATTCACTCACTCATCTATTCAGGAATTCCTAATAGGGCTGGGCACCCTGCCATGGACAGAACAGCAGCCCTACTTTCCTGGATGTTACCATCAAGTAAGGGGGTGACAGATATTGAGCGATCACACACGGATAACCTCTCGGAAGACGAACTCAAGTCACAGAACCCTGCTGCCAAGGGGATACATCCCATTCATTCGAATGGGAAATAACACGATGTGTTCCTTTCCAACTCCAGAAATCCAAACCGTCTCCAGATTGAGGAAATAAATCACCTGAAAATGAGAGCTAGTTTATGTAGGAAATAAACTACTTGAAAACAGTTTGCACGTAACACAGAATGGAATGGCTTGTTGTGCTTGGTCTTGCGTATCTGTGATTTTCTTCACCAACATTTCAGCCCTTTGGGGGCACATGGATATCCATGGGTATCTTGCACTCAAACTACACCTAAAACATAAAGTTAAGGGGCGACTGGGTGACTCAGTTGGTTGAGCGTCCGACTTCGGCTCAGGTCATGATCTCGCAGTTCATGGGCTCAAGCACCGCGTCGGCCTCTGTGCTGACAGCTCGGAGCCTGGAACCTGCTTCAGATTCTGTGTCTCCCTTGTTCTCTGCCCCTCCCCCTCGCTCGTGTGTTGTCTCTCTCTCTCTCTCTCTCTAAAAAATAAGTAAACGTTAAAAAATTTTATAAAAAAAAAATAAAGGTAAAGCAGCTTTAGGGCAAAATAAAAGCTACAGTCGAGAGAGCATGAAACTGAAGACATCCAAGATGGAGAGCCTTAGAAGACACAGCTCCTTCACTGCCCTTGCTAGAAATGAGCAAAGGAAAACGTTCCAAATTCACCCAAATGCAGCACATAATTCAGGTCTGACCAGAAACTGTTTTTTTTTTTTCTTTACCAGAGACCATATTGTCATCGTCCATTGGTGAGTGTTTTTCTTGAAAACATAATGTCAAAATCTCTCTTTGAGCTTGTGTCATTCGTGCGCCTATGTGGAAGAGTTGATATAGCCAGACAAAGAGGTCCTCGTTCAGGAAGCGGGAGAGCGTTCTAAAAGTCATGGCAAAAAGCTGGTCTTGGAATGGCCGTTGTGGGAGATTGAGCGGGAGTGGGGCATAATGGCCATGAAATGTGCTGTGAAGGAAGGAAAAGGGAATCCAGAGAGTCCTGGGGATTGCACAATCCTGAGTGACCCAGGTCCTCTCTGAGAAAGTGACCCTGAAACTAGAATCCTTTTCCCACGTGGAGGCCAGGGTGGCCCTCAATGAGCACACAGAATAAAGACACACCTAAATGGGGCTGTGGGTGGTGTTTTCTTTTTAATCTCCATAGTGTATTTGTTCAGTTTATTTATAAGCAGATCACTTCACTATTTACAGTACATGAGCATAGAGATTCTACAGTTTTTGTGATGTAAACAATAACTCCCCAGTGGGAGTCTGAGAAAAGAAGCCAGTTCTGAAGTATTTACAGACGTTAAAATAGAACTTTATACTCACGGAAGAATAATACATAGAGCAATTTGGTTAAATTATCTATGAAACTATAGAATCTGACAATGTACAAATACAGGAAAACAGTTTCTCATTTAGAAGGTAGGACGGATAAATCACACCGGAAATAAAACAGGGACAATGACAACCACAATAATTAAAAGCAAAGAAGGTTTCTTCCTTGCCTCTTACAGATAAAGTATTTATATAAATAAGGACACAACCCAACAAAATGGAAAAAATATATAAAAATCCTCTACCGATTAAAAAAAATAGCAAAACTAAAAACTCGATTCTCAATCATTAGCAGTGTCCTTTAAAAAATTAAAATTTAGCTTTCTATTATAAATAACAAAGCAGATGTGTCCCTCTGTGTAGGTGAAATTCTTGCACCTTTCTCAAGAAATGCATCAATGTAATTCCACACATACACACAAACACAGGCGTGCACACGTGCAGACAGGCACACCTACACACACACACACACACACACACACACACACACACACACACATATACACACAGCCTTGCGCTCACGCACCCCAGGCTGTAGTTACCTTGTTGAGCTTCCTAATAAATAATGCCCCCTACGGTAGTACCCCTGGGGATGCCCAAACCTGACAAGTTTAGCCATTCCCTGGTTTGACCCTGTCACAGAGCCGGGGAAAGCCCTGGCTCCCTATTGCTCAGAATTCTCTAGGCTGTATGGTCACACCGAGAGAAGAGGAGTTGAGTCCAAGATTTGGAAATGCTGGAAGGGACCATAGGGACCACCTCGCCCAGTCGATTAAGGCTAGCTACAGACACAGTCTCTTTAGAAACCTGGGGTTGGGGAGAGGGATCGTGAGTTGATTTCAACATTAGCAGCTCCCTCTGGAGGAAGCAGATGCTCAAAGCCAATGCTAACACCGTGGCACAAGGGGGCGGGTGTGAATTTCCAGAGCGGCCCTCACGGGGCCAGACTTCCGGATGGTCACGGTCTCCAGAAGCCATCTGGAAATCCAAGTGGTCCACCTCCCCGTTCCGCTGACCACCCTGACCACATGCCCCTGGAGGTTTCCCACCTGTTTCCGTTGGAATCAGAACACCCCTTAAGAAACAAAGTTGGGAATAGTTTATGACTTTTTATTCCTAACACAAAAACGCTTGACAAGATTTTTAAATACAAAATACAAACACAAACGGACGAACAAAAAAAACCTGTTTGGCTATTCAGTGGACCATATCAAAGGCCATGGCCAGCCCCCCCATCCCACCCCGCCCCCCAGTATCCTCACACTCAACCTCTTTGCTTGTCCCGAGGGTACAGTGCAGGCCACCTAGCAGAGGTTCACTTAACAAGGTCAGCAGCTGGGCTGCCAGTATTGCAGTTAGAGTAAACCCCTCCCGGGCACCTGGACACAGGGTCCTCTCCTGTCTCCTTTCCCCACAGGATAACTAGTGTGCTTCTCGGTCTGTGCAAGAGTCTGCTAAATGGTTGCTTCTGGAGTCTTCTGACTGGTATAACACTGGGCTCTAAACACATAGACGGTTCACTCAGGCCGTTACATATAATTCCCAAAGTTGGTGTTGGATAGCAAGGTGGCCGCCGAAAAGATTTATTTGCCTTCCATCTGGGTAGCTGGTGGGTACGGTCTTTGGCCACTAGAGGGCGACCAGACGTTGATAAGGCAAAGTGCTGAGGTGGAAACTGACTAATCCCTTCAAAAGTCACCCAGGCTTTGTGAGGCTCTGTGAGGTGTCCTTGCAGGATCCTTCTGACAGAACATGACAGCAAAGAGCAGGTTCTAATGATATAAACATGTCTTTGTGGTGTTGCTCTGCCCGGGGGCTGACCATCTACAAAACCGTATTTTCCAAGCCCCCGGTTTGGGCAGTTGGACTTTCCTGCTGCTTCCAGATGTGCAAGGCATTCTGATGAAACGGAATCTCTGAAAACCCGCCCCCCGGGGTCTCAAAGCCTCAGCCACCACTGCTATATTATTAAAGAAACCAAAAGCAAAAGGTGCCCTAAACACACGCAGTGTGGTCGATGCCTCCTGTTGCCCCATATGTTTTACAATCATTTGAAGGAAATGGGTGAAAAGTGCCTAAGTTAAGCTCTTTTGAAAAAACAACAACAACAACAAGTGTATTGCTAGTATTGTCTGAGAGCAAGAGAGAAACAGCCAAGCGGTCACAACATTCGGATTAAAAGCTGTTCAGTGAGGACGACGACGAGGCTAATGTGAGATTTGACATCGCCACCTAGCCAAGTTGGGGTTGAACTTCTCAGCATCCCCACAAGAAACTATGGCTTAGATCTGTCCTGGGGAGCAGGCCTCCTCATACAAGGTCACTCGGCCAGGACCACTGTGGGTTCGAATCTGCTGCTGGTGGGTCACCTTGCAGAGAACTCTCACCCTGAACACGAGCTGGGCGCAGCCAGAGAACGGGATTCGTTTCACAGGTGAGTGATGGATTCCTGATGCCCCGCAGCAGAAGCCTGAGCCTATCAGGTTCGAAAGGGACTTGAGTGCTCATTCCATCCAATAGATGAGGGAACACAGGCCCCAGATCCCACAGCAAGGAAGAAACATCAGGTTTCTCACTGAGATGGCTTATAGTTAAATGATTTGCTCTATAAACCCACTTTGGTCAGCTGGGCTGTTTCAACTTTTTATACATATATAAAAATAGGTACCGAGATCTAAACTCACCGTTCCCTATCTCTAGGGCCTCCAGCAAAAGGGCCGGCAAGGGGCGAGCCCTAGGACTGGCTTTCCTGCTGCTCCTTAGGAAGGCACCTCTCTCCTCCCTCATACCAGCCCCGCTCCCCACCCCATCCCAGTCCCTAGGAGCGTACCTCACTGAAGCCAAAGGACGCCCGTATTTGCCAGTGTAGAAACACGGAGCCAGGCAGAGGGTTGTGGTTTTCTCCAAGTGCTTTTATGGGTTCAATGCAGTGTCATCCTGTGCCCACTTCTGGTTCCCAGGAGGCTCCCCACACCCAGCGTCTGTTTAGGGCCATGGGCATTCCTGTGGGCTTCCCAGCTCCCAAGCTCTCCCTCCATTTACCCTGTACTTCCGGACTCAGCAAACAGCCCTGGAGCCCTGTTTGCCTTATGGGCAAACACCCCGGGGACTTGACTTGAGGACCAGCTGAAACATCTTGCATGTAAGCTCTAGGTGCTTTCCTTCTGCCGCGGTGGGAAGGGGACAGGGGTCAGGGATCCTTCTTCTTTGGCCAACAAAACCACGAGGTTCACTTTATTTGCTACCGTACATATGATTTCTTCCCCTGGGTCTGAGGGTAGCTGCTATACTTCTGATGCTAAGAAAAATCCTGCAGTTTTGACCGAAGTCAGATCAACCAATCCTCAGGGCTGATTCTGCTTCACAGCTGGGACGGCCCATCTCTCAAGCCGCGGGCTCAGCTGTGATTTCAACTGAACGCAAGGCTTGGGCTGAGGTTCTCACCTGTCCACGCAGAAGGACCGTGTGTCAGTGCCCTCCCCTACCGCCCCCAGCCACCACTTGCCCCAGTGCACGCGGCGCACATGCCTAGAAGAAATCGCTCTCAAAACCTCAACAAGTGGAGGCTTTGTGCGACAAAAGACTTCTCACTGCATCTCTTCCTACATCAGGACTTGGGCGCTGAGCGTCTGCAGCTCAGAGCTCACCTCTCGTCTTCCTCCTGTCCCCAAGGCCACCGAATCCCTGCCCCTCCTGAGCACAGTCACCACACAGTACTGCCAGACCTCACCGCAGGGGCAGACCCCTAACTCGTGCTCTGACCAGTTTCTGGGCTTGGGAGCAAGGCGTGAAGGGCTAAGCCAGGAGGGGGCCTTCTCTGCACTCCATCCACTCATATTCTTTACCTCTTTGATGCATTTTCCTTCGGTAACCAGAACCCCCAAGCATGAGGATTCTGATCCAGCCTCGTACCGACTGAGGAAGGAGATGGAAGAATTCCACTTAGCGGTTGGTTCAGATGGTTTTGGAAACACCAGCACAGCACAGAGATGGACGGGACGACCTGCCCAGTGAGGGCAGTGGTCGACACAGTCTACAGTAAGCTTTTATGGCAATCACATGTAAACATCACCCAGAGCAAATACTAGGACAGAGCTACAATGAGATGGTTGCCAATAGCAGCTGCTCCCTCTGGGTCCCTCCCTAATGCGGTGGGCAAGAGGCCAAGGTTGACTCGTTTTCCCGGACAGACCTTGGAGTCTCCTTGGTTAAGAACACACAGCACTGAAGGAGTCTTCCGGATGGAGGCTGTCTGCAGGGTGAGTTAACCTTAGAAGCTGCAGCCTGTTGTGGACAGACCGGCAAGCGGAAACTGCCCAACGCTCCTGGCAGACACCCTCTCCTGCCCATGGCCAGCCCTGACTTCAGGTACATTACCTCTCAGCACCACGCTCAGATCTCGGCTCTGCTCAAGGGCCAGTGATCTAAGCAACCTCAAGTGCCCTGTATTAATCTGAAGGGGAAGGGTAGCCTCAGCTGACCCGGAAGAGAGGAAAGCCTGCAAATACTTGCAAGGAGGAGGGGTTTAGGCCACCTCTAGTTCAACTCCTTCTAGGGCAGAGGGCTCGGGGAGGGGCTTTGTGACTTAGCAAGGTCACAAAGTTAAGTTCTTGGTGGAGCCAGCTCTCCAGACTCTGAATCTAGAGTTTTTTCCTATTGGCTTCCACAGGATGAAACCTCAGTGTACTCCTGGGTGCAAATCAGGACGTAGCAGGGGCAGCAGGCAGACTTAAGTTCTATTCTTTTGCATCCCATAACCATTTATTATATGCCCACTGTGTGCTAGGCAGTGAACAGCTATTAAAGGAATTTACGACGTTCAGGTCTGTGCTGTGGATAGTCCCTCCTCTTGGTTCATCTTCACAAACCCCGCCTCCCTCAGACATGTCACGTCCGCTATTCCATTTGCTCTGGCCAATCAAGTGGGGGTTGTGAGTCACAGTATTATTGGGAGTCCTGCCAACGAATGGCTTTAGGGGAATTTTCTCTCACAGATCAGAACACGGCCCATAGACAGGGATGGGCCTGCATGAAACCCAGCCACCATCTGGTTCTGTATGATGGAACCTTTCAAAGATCAGACCAAATTAAACTCTGATCCGTTAGTAATGGCTGCCCAGAGCACTGTGTTGAGGATTCTAATGGTATGATCAAGCTCAAAGGACATGAGTGCTGTGGTCGATTAGTTATGTCTGCCACTGGCCAAGGAGTAGTGGTACATGTGCCACGTATGTATTTGCCATCTCGAGCTAGATACCACCTTCACAGAAGCTAAGACTCTCAGAGCTGGTAGGAACCTTAGAGATCAACTTGCCTATTTCTCATCCAACCATTTCACAGAAAAGAATGTTGGGGCCCAGAGCAGTCAAGTGACTTGATACCCAGGAACTCAAATTCCCTATTCCTTCTAAAGCCTGTTTCCTCCAGCCTTCTCCATGGGCATGGAGTATTCTCACCTCCCAGGACAAGCTCATTTGCCCAGTATACCTACTAAGGTATTTGAATCTTTAAAAAAAAAAAATCAACTACGAATTCTCGAAGTTCTAAGCCTGGCAGTAGCAAAAGATAACATTAGCCTGTTTAGTTTAATGAGTCAATTTCAAACATTTTTAAAGCAAGCAGGACTTTTCTTCTTTTCTTTTCTTTTTTCAATACAAAAATTTCCCAAGGGACCCTGATATATGCACGAGATTAAATGGGAGCCGCTCTGTCTGAAGCAGAAGCATGAGCTCATACCCAGCCTGGCCACGCCTTCCCTCACGACCGGCCCCCAAGTCACCTGCAGAACACCCACCTTGGACATGGGCTGACGTCACTCGGGAACGTAAACCTTAAAGTAAAGCCCAATCAGAATGCTGTCTGGGTCGCAAAGGACCTTGGAGATGGTCTTAGCCACTCTCGGCCCTCACATGCCCTCCTGCTACCCTGCCCCATGCCACCGAAACAACTTTCCAAGGGAGGAAGAGGGAAAGACAAGGGGGGGTGGAGTGGGATGAGTCGGTGGCTGGCCCCCAGAAGGACGGCTGCCCCCAGAGCGCCTGCCCCAGTCCCTGTCACTTTACATCTTTACCTGCTACTGCAGGAACATGGGACCAGGAATCGGGAGGCCTGGGCTGGGGCACTGCTCTGCCCTCTCACTGGCTGTGGGACCTGGGGCCAGTCATCTCACCTCTTGGGGCACTGCCCACCTCACCCGGACACACAAGAACAACGCAGCCTTCCCCTGCCTTCCTCACAAGGTCCACCAGGATCTGAGCGCCCCAGGCCAGGCGCGAGCTTCTGGGCACCAGCGGGCACCAGATGATGGTTTGGACTGTAACTGGCCCCACCCGCGAGTCCCAGTGAGACATGGGGCACAGCACGGCAGGGAAGTCCCAGAACCCTCTCTCCTCCGCCCCTCGTTGTGGCTGCAGGCCGCACCTCCCTGGGGACCAGCCTTTCGGGCACCCAAGTGCCTCTCGAACATTCCGGCAGAGGGAGCGGAGCAGCTCAATGGCAAACACCTCACGACAGTGCATAGTTAAAAAATCAAGGAAGCGATACGATAATCCCAGGCACAGTACATCTGAGCCATAAATACGTTATTGGAAGGATATACTTTGTTTTTTTTTTCTTCAATTAAAAATGTGTTTATAATCCTGATTCTATTCACAAGTAACAATTTCATCATCACATACTACGAACAAGAAAGTTATGGTGAACACGGCTGCACGTCTACGAGGGAAGTCGGTCAGGACGGAAGGGGAGATGGGTGACGGACCCAGCACTTGGAGGCGCACCCGGGGCCACCCGCCAGAAGCGAGGACACTAAGTGGCAGTGGGACATCAACACCGTGGAAACTCACAGACAGAAGCAGCTTTGTTCAATGTAAACATTGATTTTTTTTTTTTTTTTTTAAAGGACAGCAGTTTCAAGTCTCTCTCTCACGTGTGTTCTCTCATGCGCTCGCTCTCTCAGCTTCTCGTATACTTAATTTCTTTGAAAACGTAAACATATTGGAAGGGCCTTGTCTGAGGTATTGAGGTATTCCTCGAAGGTTAAGGCTGTTATCAATGCAGGCTCTGCTGGGCCTCCTTCAGTAAGCTGTCAAAATCCATGGCTTCGTACTTGTTTTTCACTGATGCAGGAAGGGCCTCTTCTGAATTGGAATCTGGGCAGGGGGGTGGAGGAGTCAGTGAGAGGGGAAGGCAGTGAGCCACCCAGAAAGGCCAGGTGATCAGAAAATCTGCCACGGCGGTCAGCCCCATGGAGTACCTGTGGCCCACAGCCCCCAGGAGCACCAGACAACAAGAACCACCCTTGCCATTCTACTATGACCCCTCTGCCCTGTCATCGATGTCTCCGGGCCTCGGCTACCCTGTTTCTACAACGGGGTGGCCTGAACCAGAGCATGCCAGAGCTCCCTTCTGGCTCCGATATCCTATAAATCTACTTCCCTAAGCAAGAGCTTTTTGCCCGTTAGGAAACCACTGTGGAGGTCACGTAAGGTGGCCAACAGAGCTAGGATGTGGATATGGAAGCAGATCCCACGTGCTCCTGGGTTTTCTCACACTCAGCCTTGTTCTACAGAGCCCGTGGCGGGCTCTCCTCAACAGATAATCCTCTCCTAAATTATACTTCTTTGTCCTTCACCAACTCCTCTCCAAATGGTGAGGGCACGGTGACAATACTATTTCATTGTGGCCCATTAATGGACGAGGCTGCCCGCTGCCTGCACCATGGAAGGCCCCTCAAGGCGTCAGTGCAGGCCACCGGCCGGTGAGGTCAAAGAGAGTCACCATAGTTCTACCAGCTGGCTGTGAACACAAGACTGGGCCTTCCAAGAGGCCACAGGAGGCCTGAATGTCCCCTTCGGTACCAGTCTTGGGAGAGGACAAGAAGGACCAGAGACCAGAAGAAAAGCAAGATGGCGGCCTCCAGGCGAAGCGGCTGCAAAGTTATACCAATCGGCACATTAGAGCCTTGGTGTGGGAATTGGGTCCAGAAGGGGCCTTGCATCTGGGTTTCATTAAAGGCGGTCAGTGCCCCTTACGCCTTGGGTCTCACCAGAAGGTGGCGGGGCCTTGTGCACTTACCATAGTCAGTGTGTCTGGGCCAGCAGAAGTGCTGGAACCCTCCGCAGCTCAGCTGGAAGGAGGGCTCGTCGCGTTTCCGCAGGGCAGCGCCGTTCCTCAGAGACAGGGCGGCGTGCTCAGAACACCGGTAGGTGATGAAGCCGTACTTCTCGCCTCTGTGGGGAGAGGTCAGGGGGAGCGTGTTACTGGGCCAGCCTGGTTCACACTCTCAGACCACCCATCACTACAGGAGGAGCAGAAAGCCACGCGGATTCAGTAACCTGGGCCACTTGGCACCCCCCTTCCCCCACCGAATGCAGATGACAGCAGTTGCTAGGCTGCCCTCTACTGGGTGAGAACAGTAAGAGCAGGCGCCTCACGCTTCGGATCACCCTGCAAGTGGCTACTGGCATTTTCTCCCTGCTCAGGGATGAGGGCAACAGACTCTGCGGTTCAGAATTTGCCCCAGGGCAGGTGGCAGGGAGGGGTATTCGAACTCGGGCCGCCTGCCCCGCCCCACCGTGAAAGCTGATGTGCTTCTCCTGCACCTGCCGCACCTAAGCCCCCAGCTACCCCCAGGCCTCCTTCAAAGCCAGCCGCCCGCCGTGACCTTGGCTGCTAACTTAGCCTCCCCCTTCCCCAACACAGCTGATCCTGTACACACGCCATCCTTTACGGCAAACCTTTCTCTGCCCGCCTGCTCAGCATCTGCTTCCCTTCCTCTAACACCTGTGCCACGTGTTCGGCCGAGCTCAGGGCACCAGGGGACGTCACACGCCCGGCCCTCCCTGGCCACAGCGATTCCTTCAAGGACGAGCCTGTCGCCCAAAGCAGAGCCTCAAAGAATGTGTCCCAGCTTTTGCATGGAACTGGGAGGCTTTCCCTCAGAGGAGGTAGGTAAGCCTAGGGCCGCAGGTGGCCACTCTGCCTCCTGAGGGAAGCCTGCTTGGGAAGGGTGCTGGGGCAGAGGGGCCCTAAGGTCGGCCCTTTCCCCAGCTCGCCAGTTCCACACAGCAAGAAAAAGAATCCTGACTCCTCTACCCCTCTGCGGCAGACATACCTCAGGGCAGAGATCACGTGGACTTCCGCCACTGCTCACCTGCTCACGACAGGCTTCCCCACGCTAGGCGCCTAATAAATACTCAGCTGGGTCACATTTCCTGATGCCTCTCTGAACCCAGCCAAGGCTGGACCCCTTCTGCCTCTTTCAACGTCCAAACCTACTCGCTTTATTTTTGCACGTTCTCTGCGTTTGATGTCCTGGAGACTGCGCAGAACTAAACTGCCATATTTGTGTAACGACTTTTTTCTTAAATTGTAGTAAAACCTTCGAACATACAATGTACCATCTTTATCATCTTTTAAAAAGTATTTATTTATTTTCAAAGGAGTGAGAGACAGAGCGTGAATGGAGAAGGGGCAGAGAGAGGGAGACAGAATGGGAAGCAGACTCCAGGCTCTGAGCTGTCAGCACAGAGCCCGACGTGGGGCTCGAACTCTGAGCTGTGAGATCATGACCTGAGCTGAAGTCGGATGCTTAACTGGCAAAGCCACCCAGTCTCCCCAGACTTCCTTCTTTTCTAAAGCTGAATAAAATCCCTTGCTTGCATGTACTACATGTTTCTCCATTCATGAGCCAACGGACACGGGGTGGCTCCCACTTCTTGGTTATCATGAATAACGCTCCTATAAACAGGGGCATAAAAATATCTCTTTGAGATCTTGCTTTCAGTTCTCGTAAGTATATACCCACGCGTGGGATTGCTGGACCAGACGGTAATCCTGTATTTAACTTTTTGAAGAACCTGGATACCATTTTCCCTTGTGGCTGCACCATTTTCATCCCCACCAACAGCGCACCAGGGTTCTGCCTTCTCCATATCCTTGCCAACGCCTGTTACTTTCCGGAGCCACTTAATGGATGTGACGTGCGTCATGATCCCTATGCAGAAACAATGTTCTCCCTGAAGTTTTTACAATTATTATGAAATTCTAATTTAAAAACCTTCATAACTTAGTTGGCAAATACAACGGGAGATGCTTTCGAGTTATTTCAACTCTGATGAAGCTTTGACATCTAAGCGGTGCGTTTACACACGACCTATTCTTTCTGCGGCTTCCCTGACAGATGAACGTTGCTTCCCTGGGGGAGGGAGGGAAAAACCAAGATTCCCAGCAGAAGAAAAGGTCTGAAGCTGGCTGCTCTGGGGAACAGAGGGACGTGAGTGGTGTGGGTCTTTGGTAGGGCAGTGAGGTTCCGGGATAAGTGTGCCGTTAAGCCCCCCGGGGGCTGTTTGCGGCCCGACGCCAGAGTGGAGAACCTGAAGCGGACATGTGGCCTGCAGATTTGCCTCTGCGACTAGCTAGCTGCTCGGTGCATGTGACTGAGCCCCCTGGGAAGGGAAAGCAATAGAAAGAACGAGTGCAGATGCCACAGGCAGGTTACAACGTTGAGAGAAGGCACAGGATTTGCCTGGCAGCCAGCAAACCATCAGCGGGCATTTATTGCTCACTCCTGGGCTGCACACTGGTTACAGGACCTTCGCTGGGGCCCGGCTCTCCAGGTCCAGGCTGCGGATCGCAGATTTGTTCTGCAAATCTCCTCGGGCGTCTTCTGTGTGGCCAGCCCGGGGCCGGGACCTCTGCCCGTCCCGCTCCCTCCCCTGTGATAGCTTGGCCTGCCTCACCTCTTGCTCCTTGTCAGCACCTGGCACTCCACAATCTCGCCGAACACTTCGAAGCGCCTCTTCAGCTCTCGGGAGCTCATGTCGCTGGAGAGATTGCGAACGTACACCACACGGCCTTCGCCCTGCTCGAGAAGGGAAACACAGGGAGACCCATTCATTTCCTGGCCTCCTGGGACCCCCTTGATGGGTGGGGGGCGTTCTATGCAGTCCTAGTCTTCAGCCCACGATCCCAGCTCAGTGGGTAACACCAACTGGGGCTGGCATCAGAGAGGGGGCGATGACGACCCCTATCCCGGAAGGCCTGCCTTGTTGGAGGAGGGGGCTGCTGAGTATCGGACGGGACCGACTGCTCACTTGAAGGGAACGAGCAGAGAATGGACAGAGACAGGAGGGGGGTGCATCGCCATTAATATAACTGCACACTGGGTAGCATCCATATTTATGTTTGGAGTCTGGGACGTTTTCTGGGTAGCGGGGAGCTGACAGAAAGGCAAGCTGCCGGGGCACCCGGGTGGCTCAGTTGGTTAAGCGTCTGACTTTGGCTCAGGTCGTGAGCTCGAGGTTCTTAGGTTCGAGCCCCGCATCAGGCTGTGTGCTGACTGCTTGGAGCCTGGAGCCTGCTTCGGATTCTGTGTCCCTCTCTCTCTGCCCCTCCCCCACTCATACACGCTCCTCTCTCTCTCTCTCTCTCGAAAAGAAATAAATAAGAAAGAAAGGCAAACTGCTGAGGATGGTAACGGGCAAGCATGGGAAGCCAGGTCTTTGGGGGGGTGGGAGGGGGGGTCACAGGGAGCTGGGAGGAAGGCAATGGGACCAGGGCACAGGGCTCGGGGTCACCACTGTCCTGTTTTGCCAGGGCAGTGCGTAGACACTGTGACTCAGAGGTCTCTTCAGGTGAGCTGGGTGCCACGCTGTGGGCCCCTAGAAGAGCCCGGCAGAGGGAGGGGTAGGGAGAAACCCAGGCTGGAATGTCCCCTCCTCTCCCCTACAATCAATCTGTGCTTGGATCCAGGGAACACCATCGCTACTCCGACCCGTTGGAGAAACTCCAGCTGTGTTCCTGGAAGGCTGTGTTCTCCTGGGTAAAACTGACAGGTCCTGGTTCGGACGGGCTTTCTCTGGGAACAGGTTATGGCCAGGGACTCTGGGGACATCCCGTTCTCATCTCACAGCTGAGGAAAGCAAGGCCCGGGGGCCACAGCAGGTCTCTGCTCAGCGTCGGAATCCCCTCCCCCAGCCTCCCTGCAGCTCCGTCAACTGATAAGGTTCTTGCCTGCCTCTGCCCACGGTTCTCTCCACCACGTGGTGGCTCCTTTCACATGTCAGGGTCTATAGCTGCTCGCAGATGTCCCCTTCCCAGACCGCCACGTAATACATTCCTCCCCACTAGTCAAAACACGGCTGTTTATTTCGGAGAGTTCGGCCTGACGTGATTAATCCTACCGCGCCTCTCCCAATCTCTGATCACAGTGTTTATTCTTTGCTTGTGGTCTGTTGTCTTTCTCTGCCTTCTGCCCCAACCACGGGGATGAGGACCTTGTCGGCCTTGCTCATGCCAGGCACGGCCCGACTGCTGGACGGTCGCACGTGGGTTCCGAGATGATCACCGGGCACCGCCTGCAGTTGTTAAGGACCTGCTTGCAGACTGCTGTGTACCTCTGGGGTACGCACACTTCGTGTGTCCTCGCTGTCTCTGCCCGGAAGTGCCAGTCGCGCGGGAAAGCAATCAAATGCAAGCCTGTTTGTCTTTCTGTGCATCTGACTTCCTTTCCCTTCCCTTCTTTCTAGCGACATGGAGGGGCAGGCTCCAGCTCTCCGCTGCAGATTCCTGACAAATTTTTCTCCAGGCGCTTGGCAGTGGGTTCACCAGGCATAGCCTGGGCCCACACACTAACACTGGGGCAAGATTAGGGGGTCAGTAGGAAGCAAGGGGCAGGGCATCTCCTGGTCCCTCGGCCCTGATCAAGCTGGGGGACCCTTAGGAAGGACAGGGCCCAATTCCTTTGTGTGTGGATGAGTAACCTGAGGCTCAGGGAAGCTGGGAGACCTGCCCAAGGTCACACAGAGGGTGGTAGCAGAGCTGGTTGGTGGCCTGGTTGGCCCTGCTCAGCTCCCCCTCACCCCCAGCCACAGCCTGCCCTCTAGGCCCTGCTGAGCCTCTGGTGCTCAGCCCTAAAATCACCACCCGCTACATGCCTCACTGCCAGACCCCTCGGCCACAATGTGCACAACGCCACCTCTGATGTCCTTTGGTGACCCTGACACTTCTTCAAGGGAGAGAAATGGAATTATCTCCTGTAGGCCACAGCCAGCCTCGGAGGACTTTGGGTCTAAGCAGCCCCTGCACGTCCTGATGCCCCTGCTCTTCCCCATTCGCTCCGGGCTCCGGGGCCCCAGGTCACTTACAATGGCCTTTTCCCGCCGCTTCCTGGCGTGCCGGACGCCCGGCGTTCCATCTGAACACGGCCCTCTGCTCTCACATCTGTCAGTGAACAAGCAAAGCAGAGGCACTCACTCTCAGGAGGGGGCACGGCAGGGTGGGCGGGCCGAGCTGCTCCAGGAAGCAAGGCACGCTTCCTTAGAACTCTAGAGCTCACTCAGGAGGGCAGAGGGAGCCCAGTCCGCCCCCATCCCCCACCCCACGCCAGCAGCCCCGGGGTGGGCGCAGCTCTGAACCATCTGACACACGCCTCTGGCCAGCCTCTGGGACGAGATCACTGGGAACCGTGTTGCTAAATCATAACCCTTCTGAACCTCGCCTTTCTATACCCTTAGGAGTGGAAAGGCCTTTTTGCTTCCTTACTGTATGTGATCTGATGGGGGAAAACAACCTATGAGGTCTTACGTTGCCCCATTTTCCAGATGAAAACCCTGAGGCTCAGGTTCGATAAGGGATCTGCCTAAGGCTAGCATGTGGGGAAGCCAGAGCCAGAGGAGGTGGGCTGATCCCAGACCCACTGCTATCGGTTGTTGGCACCCAGGCACGAAGCCACCTGGCCCTCGCAGCCCCCACGTCCAGTGCGGCTTTCAGGCTCAACTGCCTGGATGCACTGCCCGGGGAGACTCCTGGATGCCACACGCCTGCATCTCCTGCCTGTCTGTACACCACCACCTCCTTGAGAGAGCCAGGCTGCTAGAATGGAAGCAGCACAGCATGGGAGGCGGGGAGGGGGGTGGGGGGTCCGGGCTCTGCACATACTGTCTGCGTCACTGGGAAATATAGCACGAAGGATAAGAACATGGGCTCTGCAGTCAGACAGCCCACATTCACATCCCGGCTTGACCACCTCCCTGCTGGGTGACCTTGGGCTAGTTACTTACCTCCCCTCAGCCTGAGTTCTTCACCTGGAAAACAGGGAGAACTGTTTTCCTGTATTGGCTGTATTGCCCCCTTGACCATTTGTGAGGATCAAACCAGGAAACGCTCAGCTCAAGGCCTGCTCAAGATTGCTTGCTATGGTTTTCTAGTGAACCTCTTTGAGCCTCAGCTTCCTCATCTATAAAATGGGAATAAGAAGCAGATGCAGCCTCCATGTGCATCTGTGAAGCTAAATAGGGGAACAGAAGGGGATATGACTTGCAAACTTTAAAGTGCTATAAATGATAGCATCAGCATCCATTTGCAACACAGCGGCAGTTACCCCACATGGAGAGCTGTGGGGTTTATGCTGTTACACCAGCTCAGAGCACTTTCTGTTGACCAGTGCTTGGTATCAGAAGCAGAGGTTTAAAAAATATGAGTCTGGAGGGGCAGGCATCTGGATGGCTCAGCTGGCTGAGAGTCCGACTTCGGCTCAAGTCATGATCTCACGGATCGTGAGTTAGAGCACCATGGTAGACTCTGGGCTGACAGCTCGGAGCCTGGAGCCTGTCTTCAGATTATGTGTCTCTGTCTCTCTCTGCCCCTCCCCCGCTCATACTCTGTCTCTCTCACTCAAAAATAAATAAACATAAAAAAATTTTTTTTTTAATATGAGTTTGGAGGGGCACCTGGGTGGCTCAGTCGTTTAAGCGTCAGACTTCGGCTCAGGTCATGATCCCACGGTTCGTGGGTTCGAGCCCCACGTCAGGCTCTGTGCTGACAGCTCAGAGCCTGGAATCTGCTTCAGATTCTGTGTCTCCCTCTCTCTCTGACCCTCCCCTGCTCACACTGTCTCTCTCTCTCAGAAATAAATAAAAACATTTAAAATAAATAAATAAATATGAGTTTGGAGAAGGCTGATGACTAGTTTACCAGGTTTGCCAGGCCCCGAGCTCTGCCAACTGAGCAAAAACCGAGTCAACCAATTAATTTTGCCCAGTGAGTAGCAAAAGCCAGCCCTGAATTTGGCCCAAAAGCAAGAAGAGGAAAAGACAAATCCATGGGAGTTTCCAGGGAGGCTCCCAACTCTTCACAGGCAAGTTCACGAATACGGGCCCTGCCCTGATGCCTCCGAGCTGGTCAGGAGGAAACGGAGGCCAGGAAGCCTCAGCTCCAGGCTTGGTGTGTGTGTTTTGAAAAGAAGAGAACCTTTAGCAGCTTCTGAGCTCCTAAATGTTGCAGAGGAAAACTGCCTAAGGTGGGCGCCAGGTCACTTAGCTCCCAGTGACCCCTGGGAAAAGGAGAATGGAGCCAGAGAGAGGTCTAACCAATCATCCTGGCTTATTACAGAGAAGGGCTTTCAGAGAAATCGCTAGGCAAACAGGTAGTCCACAGCTTCTTAACATTAGTGTCGGGGGAGTCAAAAACCCCCTAAAATTGAATAGACTTAGAGGTCTAAGTACATTTTAAAGGGAAGAGAAGCGTTTGCTTTAATCAGATTTCATTCAGTTAAGAGCTACTGGTGGAGATACATGAATATAAAGCAGGGTTTTCCTACAAAAAGATATTTTTCTATCACCTGAATTCTGGTTCTTAGAGTATGGCACTCTGGCGACATCATCATCACCTGGGAACTAGTTAGAAATGTGGATTCTCCCACCCACCCACCCCCCCCGCCCAGATGTACAGAATCAGACACCGGGCCGGGTGGGGTCCAGCCGGCTGCATGGCTCTAGACCCAAGAGCACCATCTAGTGGCCACTCAGGTGCATATCAGGCAGAGGATTTGGTTCCTGCGCTGACCCGGCTTGGGCCTCCCCCGGGTCAGGTCAGGTGCTGCTGTGATCAGGGAGAGAAGCAACCTAACTCTACCAAAAATGCGCCAAACTTTCATTCTTTCTGCCCAGCTCCCCACTGACTTTTGGACCAGCTCCTTCTTTCAGACCGGTTCAGTGAGCCAAACCAGTTTGAGCAAACAGGCTCAAATGTGTCATCCTTGTGGGAAGGTAGGGCAGCTCCCGGGGGGTCCTCTGACTGCTGGGAGTCCTGGCCCCGCGCAGCAGGACCAAGAGATGGGAATAACCTTATCGCTGCTTTAAATCGAGGTCTTATTTTTAGACCGCAGATGAGAGTCCTGCTAATCATCCTTTTACATGCGAATGTCACACAGACATTAAACTGGGTCCAAAGCAGGAAACAGACGAATAAGGGACACGTTCATGTAGACATAAAGCCACAAGCAACCAGGAAGCGGGTATTCGTCCTCTCCCAGGGCCAAGAGATTTGGGTCACTCCTGACTGTCACACAGCAGGCCTTGCCACCTACAACTCTCCCAGGGAGAGAGACCACCTCCGGGGCCTCTGACCGGGACACGGGCCACACGGGGAGACTCGGCCCCAGTTTCAGGGCTCCTCCCTCCCTTGGCACCCTGGGAACCGGGGTTGTCGGCTGCCACTGTCCCTCTTGAGGCCACCCATCCATACCTGAAGGTCCTGCGGATGGCTGGTGACCGGGAGTGGCAAGAGGAGGAGCAGGAGCTGGAACGGCTGCGGGAACAGAGCTGCCGGGCGGCTTTGCTGGGTGGGCTCTGGCAAGGGCAGTGGTCGGAGCGAGGGGGGCTGACCCCGGAGTCCTCTTCCTCATCGTCCTCCTCCTCCTCCTCCAGGAGGAAGCTGCTCTCGCCACTGCTGCTGCTGCTGTCCTCAAAGACGGTGTCGTATTCAGGACTCTTACAGGAGGCCAGGTCTTCATCCTCCAGGGCGCTCTCCAGAAGCCCGAAGTGCTTGGTGAGGCTGGCGCGGATCTCATGGTCTCTCAGGAGCACACCGTCCTTAGCGGGGGCGCTGGCGGCACAGCTTCTGTCTTCCTCCCTGTCGGAGGCCGGCACCTCGGCCCGGGGGGCCCCTTGCTGGGGCCAGTCCTCCAGGTGGGCCGCAGACGGCTCCCAGGACCTCAGCACCTTCGTCTGCAGGGCGCCCTCTGGCTTCAGCACCTGGCAGTAATCATGGTCTCCAAAGGAACAGGAGAAGGGGCGCTTCTGAGCGCCCTGGGAGGCCGGCTGGGCTGCGGCGGGCCGCAGGTGGGACAGCAGCTCGCTCCGCTCCGGGCGCTTCTTTGGCAGCTTGTGGGCGGCCCCCGCGGCGGCCTCGAGCTGGAGGCCCTCCAAGCTGGGAAGGCTGCGAGCTCTGTCTTTGCCGGGGCTGTGCTTGATGTCCGGCTTGAAGGGGTCCTCCTCCGCGGGCTTGTAAGGAGGCGTGGTGGGTGGGGTGAGTCCTAGCCAAGCAAGAGGAGAACAGTGTGAGGCGGGCACGGGTCTCTTCTCCAAGGGACAGAGGGTCTAGTCTGGGACGGCAACGGAGCAGTGTACGGGCAACGGCTTTCCCAGCCTAATGAACGGCAGGCATCCCTACGAACACTGCGCTGGTGGCTCAGCCTGAACGTGGCCCGGGGCTCGCACAACCCGCGGTCAGCTCTTGAGCTGGCGTGTGTTAAAATCCCCTTGCCATCCCTCTGTAGCCAGAGCCTCCTGGTCATTCGAGAGATCTCCTCTTGCTCTACATCCAGCCATTCAATCAGCTCCCCTATTGTTTCAATGTCTCCCAAGGGAGAAAGGCAGGCACCGCAAGTCAAACCTCCCACCTGGATTTGACATTCATGGTGCCATCAGTGCTCCTGCATCTAAGCTTGGCCTCCACCCTCCCCCGTGCACAGAGGGAACTCGCCAAATGCCCGAGATCTCTTCCTGTCTGGGGCTCCTGAAGCCTGAAGGATAGAGATCAAACCCTCAGCCTGGCAGTCCTCTCGGCCTCCTATGACGGCTCCTTCCGGCCCCTCCTCCTGCGACGCAGTGACGCCAGGTGACCGCTCTCCTCAGGGCCACCTGGGCTTTCACCCCGCTTGTCTTTTGCTCCCGCAGATTCTGCAGCCGGGGATCTACTTCCCGCCTCCTCATCTCTCCAACCTCTGCCCATCCTGGGAGCCCGGCTCCTAAGCCCTCTGCTCTGGATGCCTCGCAGATCTTCCGGGCCGCACGCCCGCCCCGCCCCACCTCACCCCTTCCTCCATGCTCACAGCTCTCTCACACATACTTTGAACCAATGCACCTGCAACAGTACCAGTCCCTGAGGGCACCCTACCCGCCGAGCCCCAGCCTCACCTGCCGTGCCACAGAGCTCCACCGTCAAGGTCTGCTCGAAGCTCTTCTTGCCAAAAGGAGGATCACTGGTGGGGGCGGAGAGGACAGAAAGCAAAGAGGCCAGTCAGCAGCGGGCTCCCCTTCTCCCAGCACACAAGGAGGGCAAGGGGACACGTGACAGAGCCTGGTTCTGCTGCCCACAGAGGAGGGTGCTGGGGAGAGTTTTCTGGGAGAGCCCATCCTGACTTAGAGGAATTCAAAGCAGCCTATGGCTCTTACAGAAGACACATGACTAATCTGCTGGAGGGTGGAGACAGGGCATGCATTGTCACCCTCCTTATTTACAGCTGGAGCACCTGAGGCCCCGAGTGGGGAGGACACTAGCCCAAAGCCACAGAGCATTATCGCCTTTCCCCTGCGGGGACACTAAGTCCTTTCCTGGTTCTGAAGGGGACACCTTATGAAATGGCCTAAACCCTTAATCCCTTACGTTCCTGAGCCTGCAGAGACGTCCCTTCTAAGGGAGCCCAGCTACCCAGGGCCCCACATGACAATGAGAGCAGGGGAATGGGGGCAGGGGCAGGCTCACAGGCTGAGGAACCCCCCACTCTCCACCCCCGATACACATCCAACAGGACAAGACCCATGGAATAATAAACCATTGATTTCCAAAAATCTACCTTTGTGACAAAGCCAGCATGAGGCACCTGGGAGAGTCTGAAAGGAAGATGAAAAAGGAGAAAGTAAGATTCCCCAACACGGCATCACTAGCAGATGTTTCCCTCTGGAGGAGACCCCAACTCCCACTGGTACTGAGCAGGGCCCCCTTCAAGCATGTGACTCAAAAGCCTCTGTCATTTTTAGGGAAGGGCAGGAACAACTCAAAGCCACCTTCATTCCCAGGGTCTCCACAACATTAACAGCCAGCAGACTATTCGAGGTTTGGGAAAGAGCAGATAGGTATGAGAGTGACCCCTTCTGGCCAAACAGTGTAGTACAGCGGGGGGGGGTTGGGGAGAGCTCCAGGGAAGGCCAGGGGCTCAGGGCTGGTCCACAGATGAGGGACTCACTGGCTGAATGGATTGCTCAATCCCTGTGCCTCAGTTTCTGTGCGTACAATGGGGATTATGACAGTATGCGCCACACAGGATCCCCCCGCCCCCCCCCCCCCCCCGTGAGGAGTCAACGGGGATAAGCTTGTCAAGTTTTAGACCAGTGCCTGGCACAGCAAATACACTATTGCTACCATCCAAAACCCAATGTCATTAGGGGAGCCCGGGTGGCTCAGCCGGTTCAGCGTCCGACTTCAGCTGAGGTCATGATCTCACGGTTTGTGGGGTTCGAGCCCCGTGTCAGGCTCTGTTGCTGACAGCTCAGAGCCTGGAGCCTGCTTCGGATTCTGTTGTCTCCCCCCACCCCCTCTGCCCCTCCCCTGCTTGTGCTCTCTCTGTCTCTCTCTCTCTCTGTCTCTTTCAAAAATAAATAAACGTAAAAAAAAAAAAATCCAATGTCATTACGGAGCTAGATTTATAGACTCACTCCTTGCGTCACACCATCACCCAGGACGTCTTCTTTAGAGCAACTTAGCACCATTTGTAATTATCTTCCTTTTTTTTTACTTTGTGATTGCCTGTCTGCCCCACTGAAACAAAAGCCACACAAGGGCAGGCATCTCGCTCCGTGTTCATTAAGTGGTGCCTGGCCCACGCGTGATGAAAAACTCAGAGATGTGTGGGTGGTTTCTGAAGATCCGCCCAACTAGCCCATTGCACAGAAAGGGAAGTTGAGAGCCGGAGAGGGGAAGGGACTTGCCCAGCACGGGGCTCCTGGCTCCCAGCGCAGTGGGGTACGCCACGCCCCATCCCTGCCCCCTCTCATATGGACCACCGACTCCGACTACCTCTGGAAGGGAGCCGTGGGCAGCTGGGGTCCTCATCCGTGTCCCCACAGCCACTCTCACAGGGGCTCTCCAGAGCGGGGATCTGGGGTCCCTGTGGGAGCTGCCGGTCTTGACCACTGTCCTCATCCGTGGGGCTTCCCAGCGGCCCCTCCATGTCGTAGGCCTCGGGAGGCAGGCGCAGTGAGGACAGCGCTCCCTGGGGCTCTGCAGGGACCAGAGACTCATCGGAGAATGTCAGCCAGGGGCCCAGCTCCGGGTTCAGTCTCCTGGAACGCCGCACGGGGCACACTGAACTCTCCAGCTTCCTCCCCAACTTGGTCCATGGCAGGCCTCGGCCCGGTCTTTTCCGCCCCCATTCCTCCTCCTCCTCTTCCTCCTCTTTTTCTTCCTCCTCTTCCTCCTCCTCTTCCTCCTCCTCTTCCTCCTGCGGCTGCAGCCTGGCTGACCGGACGGCGCGTCCTTTTACCTGCAGCCGCAGCGGGCGCAGGCTGGGCCTGGGCCCTGTGCTCCTGGGTGAAGCTGTGATCCTCACCTCCTCCACAGGGGAAGGGCGGCTAGGGGAGGCCTGGCTGTCCTTGGGGGGCCTGGGCCTGGGCCGGGGCGTGAGGGAGGCATAGACAGGCGTGGCCAGGCGGTAGGGTTTGCTGACATCACAGAGGACGTCTTGAGCCAGAAGTTCCCTCAGGATGGAGAACTCAGCCCAGGAGGCTTTGGAAGGGTTCTGGGACTGGGGCTGGGGCTTGATCTGCTTGGAGGGGCTGCTGCAGGGCTGGGGGGCCGGCTCTGGGGCCTGGGGGGGCAACTTCCTCTGGGGCAGGCAGTAGGTGTGCATGTAGCGGATGAGCTGCACCACGGCTTGCATGTCCTTCTGGGAGACCTGGGTGCCAGGGCCCGCCCTGCCTGGGGCCGGGGAGTCCTGCGGCAAGGCCGGAGCCAGCCAGGGGCTCGGGCAGTCCTCTCCTCGTTCCTCATCCTCCTTGGCCGGGAGCTGGGGCCTCAGAGCGGGTGGCGGCTGCGAGCCCCTGTCGGGGGAGCAGGCTTTCGTCTGGGGGCAGGGCGGCACCGACGTGAGGTGCCTATGCAGTTCTGTACAACTCCGGCTCTGAGACTGAGCTGTGGGGATCTTCTTGTCTGGGGTGCCATCCATCTAGAGAGAGAAAGAGGCCCAGAGTGAAGAGGGAGGCCCGCACCGCCCTGCTCCACTCTGCCCAGCACCTGCGGCCACCGGCCGAGCCCAGCGTGGCACCTGGCAGCGCTCGGGTGATGAGCAACTGAGGAACGGCCAGCCTCCTGACAGGCCTCCCAGCCATAGATTTCACCCTTTGGGGTTCACTGCCAAAGCCCTCCTCTGTCCATCCCGCTCCCCTGCCCTGTACCCTTTGGTAATGGCACCTGGGCCTGGGAACAGGGATTAACTGTAAATGAGGGTGCAGGAGATCTCTCTGGGATAACTGGAATGTTCTAAAACCGAATTGTGGTCACGGACGGGGCATCTGGAGGGCTCAGTCGGTTAAGTGTCCAACTCTTGGTTTCGGCTCAGGTCATGATGTCACGGTTTGGAGTTCGAGCCCCAGGTCGGGCTCCGTGCTGACAGCGTAGAGCATGTTTGACATTCTGTCTCTCCCTCTCTCTCTGCCCCTCCCCCACTCATTCTCTCTGTCTCTCTCTCGAAAAAATAAATAATAAGTAAACTTTGAACTGTGGTCATGGCTGCACAACTCTGCGAATTTACTGAACATCATCGAATTATACTTTAAAAATAGGTGCCTTTTATGATATTTAAGTGACACCGAGGGTGGTAGCATGGCCGAGCGGTCTGTGATATTTAAGTGACACCTCCATAAAACTGTTTAAAAAAAAAAAAGCTGCTTCTGCCCCCAGGGCATGGGTTGTGTTCGACAGCCCCCTGCAGAAGTGTCCGGGGACCCAAAGGAAGGACCCAGTGTGGGCTTTGAATACCAGGAGTGCTAGGAGATCACCTACAAAACCGCTCTTTGAAAGCCTGGGAAGATGGAACCCAAGGAGGAAAAGGGATTTGCTTCACTCTTCGGAGTTCACGACAGAGCTTTCGACTCTCCAATGGCCTCCCTCCCACCCCCCGGAAGGAATGCAAACTCCACAATCCGCACTGATCTCCTGTTCCCGCGTATCGCCCGTTAGAACCGGCCGCTGAAAGCAAGCCACACCTTCCTCATCCCTGCTCTAACCCAACATCTAACACCGTGCCTGGAACACTGAGGTGCATGCGAAAGTCCTGAGCTTTTTCTAGAACCCCAGACTGGCCTGGATCTCAAGTGCCCAACACACTAGCTACAGGGGCTACGTGAGGCATGAGGAGGGAAACTGGAAGTCGAGTGAACTTGATACCCCCTGATACAGAGCTGAAGGTTATACCCCTCAGAGCCCACCTGGGGGTCCGGGTGGATTTGGGGGCACGCGCAGAAATACCTTAACACAAGGCCGCTGACTCTTGGACCTGAGGCCGGTCTGGCGCCAGGCGGTCCCTTCCTTCTGGGTATCGGAGCTCGAGGACGGGTGGGACGTGGCGAGGAGGAGCTTCTGCAGCTGCAGGAGAAGAGAGGAGAAGAGCTGGGGTTGAGCTCTCCTGGGGGACGTAGAGAAGCGTGTCTCGGGGAGAAGCCTGAGTGCAGAGCCAGCTTCTCAAGACTGAGCACGCCCTGAGCCTGGGTCATCACGGGACCATGGGAAGAGGGCATTTAATGATCGAGAATATGTCCCCACTACATTAAGCACAGAAAGCGGATTGTCTAACAATAAGAATCCACACAAGTATCCCAACAAGATGTAAATCTTTTTCAGGGTTACTAACCCAAGAGGAATATCTGCGACTTTGAGGAATTCAAACAGATCTTGGGTAGTAATGTCTTCCCACCCTGCTGTTAAAATATGATGTGTATACTTCATCGGGACACTTGCGTACACCCGCGGCACTCACACGCACGCGCACACACAATGTGGAAAGTCAGGTGCTACAGTGAGTCTTTGCCACGGGATTCCAGCTGACTTCCCTTTTGTTCCTTTGGCTTCTCCACGCTGCTTTGTTAAAGATTAATTTCTTTAATTAAAAAATTATACCTGTAAATGGTGAAAACATATATATATACCACAAATACAATTAGACAATTAGAAAGAAGTCTCCCTCCTGCCTGAGGTCTTCCTTTTTCCTCCCCAGAGGCAACGACTATTAACCACCTTCTTGGGAACGCATCGCCAGGTGGAATTCAACCACACAAGAATATACATACGGGGGCACCTGAGTGGCTCAGTCGGTTAAGTGTCCAACTTCCACCCAGATCATGATCTCACGGTTCGTGAGTTCGAGCTCTGCGTCAGGTTCTGTGCTGACAGCTCAGAGCCTGGAGCCTGCTTCAGTTTCTGTCTCTCCCTCTCTCTTGGCCCCTTGCCCTACCCATGTTGTCTGTCTCTTTCTGAAGAATAAATAAACAGTAAAAAAAAAAAAAAAAAAAAGAATATACGTATGTACCTCCCAGCACACCTGGTTGTTTTTACACAGGTGGAAGCATGCTATACTTAAGCTGGCCTGGCTTTTCTAATTTTCCTATAAAAATTGCTTCCGAATCCAGAAGGCACGTGCACAGTACAGCCCAGCAGGGGCGCAGGGAGCTCAGCATACCTGTAAATCCTGCAAGTTCACCAGGGACCCTCTCACAACAAGACTGAGAACAAGTCGGGAAGCAGGATGGGTTTTCGCGATGGCAGCAAGTGTTTCATTGAGGGATATGCCCCCCAGCTCACCCCAGCAAGGAGTGCCAAAGGCGCAGGCCCCAGAGAAGAGGCCAGTCCACAATCCCCCAGGAGCTGGAGGATTCCCACCACCCTACCTAGACCCCACACCAGTACATGCAGGTCTGTGATTCTCTGACATGGACAGGAAAAGGCTCTTAGGCTGCTGGGAAGGGACCTGGTTCTGGCCCAGCTCAGCCCCGCTCACTATAAGACCTTGGTGAGTCCTCAGGGCGCCTGGGTGGCTTAGTCGGTTAAGCGTCCGACTTTCACTTAGGTCATGATCTCGCGGTTCGTGGGTTTGAGCCCCGCGTCGGGCTCTGTGCTGACTGCCGGCTCAGAGCCTGGAGCCGGTTTCAGTCTGTGACTCCCTCTCTCTCTGACCCTCCCTTGCTCACGGTGTCTCTCTCTCTCTCCTAGAAATAAATAAAAAATATTTAAAAAAAAAAAAGAAGAAAGACCTTGGTGAGTCCTCTCCTTCTTGAGGCCTTGGTTTCTCCATTGGAATCATGGGGGAAAGTACACTAAATGACTGGCTATTAACCTTTTTTGAGTCAGGAGTCCCTCTAAGAATACGATAGAAGCTTCTGACCTCAGGAAGCTGAACCTGTAGAGGTTCAAGGGTCCTGGTCAGTCCACTGGTGACTCTTTGGGATCCATGACACCAGGTTAAAAACTGGGCAACTGGATAACTTCTCAGGGCCTTTCTGAACTCTCTCGATATGCTGGGGGTCTAGATGGTGAGTCTGTTTCCTATGTGCCAAGCATAGTGCCTGAAACAGAGGTGCTCCAATAAACCTGTGTGGAATGAAGGCAGTCTGAGGCATGGCAGGGAAACTACCTGTGGCCAGCAGGGGTCACTCTCTGCCTCGCTGGGGTTTGATCCCTCTCCAGAGCCCTCTGCACTGAGAATTCCTCTGTTAGTACTACTAGCAGGTCGGGTCGTGCCAGAACTATTACTTAGATAGTATTTATTAAGCAACTTCTAAGTACGAGGTACTGTTCTAAGTGCTTTACCTGCATTATCTGCACACTCCTCCCATCAGCCTTTGAGATAAGCCCTATTATTTGACCCCACCTATGGACCAGGAAGCTGAGTCAGAAGAGATCAGGTGTCTAAAGGACAGGAGAGCATTAACTAACCGGCGCGGGGCTGGGATTCAAACCCAGTCTGATTTCAGTCTAAAAGGAAGCAGGACCCCTACCCGCAGAAGCCACAGTGTGGGACTGAACATAGTCTTGTGCCCAGCATACAGTAGGTGCTTACTAAATGTTTCACACTGCTTTTGGGGAACTTGAGGGCAGGGGAAAGAAGGAAAAGGGTCCTGGACCAGGAGTCCGAATACCAACTTGCTATGTGACCATGGGAGAGTCAATTCCCTGCTCTGGACCTCAGTTTCCCTACAGTTGTACTTGATTGTCACGAAGGGTCTTTCCACTCACACTCTCCATGACCTAAGACCCTTCCCAGCCCAATAGGCTCTGACTTTCCAGTGGCGTCTTGTCAGCCCCCAGGAACAGCAGCGCCAAGGGGAGAAACCGAAGATAAGTGAGCGTAGCTGGGCTTCACATACCCTGTGACATTTCTGCCTGAGTCAGGGACGACTGCTGTCAGTAAAAACTGCAGTTTCGTGCCCACATTCCCACGTTCCACGTATACTCACACAGACAGCATTTAACATTTGCTGGGGGTAGGGGAGAGGAAGGGGAGCGTCAACCAGTCGAGACTGTATGGAGGGCAATCTGGAAATATCTGTCTAAACTGAAAAATCAGGTATCTATAGACCCAGGAATTCCGTTTCTAGAAATTCATCCACTTGGACGTGGGAAAAGGCCTGTCCCCGGACGCTGAGTGCCAGCAGTATAACAAAAGGAGTCGGAACTATGTCCGTTCCCACCAACCAGGGACGGGTGAAAACGTTATGGCACATCTTCACCAAAGAACATTAGGCAGCTGACAAAAAGGATGGAGCAGAGCCTCCTGTGCGCGTCTGAGTTTTCAAGGCACACAGTTCTCTGAGAAAAGGTGCAGAGCGGCATATAATGGAGTCTCCCTTGTGTAGTAAAAAAAAAAAAAAAAAAAAGGTGGAAGAGGAAAGTCACCAAACAGGTAGGTAACCATGGTTACCTCCAGGCAAAGAGAACGCAGTTGCGAGATGGATAAGGAGGTCTTGCCTTTAACTCCACATTTCCTGCTTGAATTTTTACCATGATGTGTATGTATATAACCTTTAGGAAAAACGCCTTTCCGGAGAATTTCAGGAGTTGAATAATAACAAAGGCCAATCCATAAAGTGCCAAAGGACCTACAGGGTGCGAGGGAGGCCTCCATGGTGAGAGGAAAGGTGAGGCCCTGTCGAGGCTGCCTGCGGTGCACCCTGCTGTCTGTGATGCCCAGAGACCCCTGCAGGGTCTGGAGGTGGCTCTCCTGCACACACTACCCCTATGACCACCCACCACATCCCAGGCCACCGCCACCGTCAGGTCCGCTAGAAGCACATTCTCACCAGTGAGAGCTCATCCACCTCAGGTGCCGGGCCCTGGGGCCTCTCCAGGGAGGGGCTGGGACTGGGGGGTGCAGATGAGGGGGCAGGCGAGGCCGAAGCACAGGACAGTGCATCTCCGCCATCCAGAGCTGGGAAGGCGGCCAGACCCACATCGTCTTCGGGGATGTCGTCCAGGGTCTTGGTGAGGGCTGCCAAGAGAGCTTCATTCTCGCTGTCGATTATCTGAAGTGGGGAGCATGGATGGAGCAGAGAGGGACACGGTCAGTCAATACCTTGGGCTCTGCACACGCAGCTGCAGCACTCATCTCCCTCCCCCCAAACCCTCTCCCATCCTTCCCCAGCCGTCGGATGGCTCGGCGTTGCTGGAAGAGCAGATGCCCAGGAAAGATGTTACTGACTCCAGGAATCACAGAAGTCTGTGTGCAGGCAGCAGGTGATGCTGGAAGGAGCCTTGCCCTGGGAGCCCCACTCCTGGCCCTGTTGCTCATCAGTGTGTGACCTTGGGCACAGGGCTGTCCACCAGAGATGCCCATCCCCTTTACCAAGGATAGCAGCTCCACACCACAGCCTCCTGGGACACAGCCCCTGGGCCCTGAATCTGGTCTCCGCCTCTGGGAGCAGCACCCACCGCCGCGTCCCATCCCCTCTGACTCCGGGGTCTGAGCAGGCAGTGTACACGCCAGAAGCTTCAGGGTTGGCCATGACAATGACAACCACAGCCCTAAGAAAACGACTCCGATTTCCCAGATGGTTCCCGGGCCTTGCTCACTGCTCAGGAGGGGTCAGGAGCTTGGGCTCGGGAGCTGGGGTTGAATCCCAGACCCCACACTTAACCAGCTGTGGGTCCTTAGGCAAGTGACTTAGTTTCTTCATCCATCCCATGCACAACAGTACCTGCTTCTTAAGGTTACTGTTGAGGACGTAACCTCATCTGAACTAACGTATATTAGGATGCTTCATGAACAGATGGTACATAATAAATACTCAGTACCACCACCACTACTATGACGGCTACTGTGATCATGGTGGGGGCATTTCCTCCCCCTCTTCCTCCCTGCCTTCCTCTAACACACATGTACTGAAGGTCCTTGGTGCCTGGCACTGGGCACCGGTCCTCAAGCTGCCAAGACAGGTACAGCCCACGCCCTAATGGGCTTCCTCTCCAGCGGAGAACGGACTGAAATCAGAGAATGAACAAGACCATCTCAGAGAATGAGAAAGGCCTAGGAAGAAAATAAGAGGATGCTGCCACGGAGAAGAACGTGGTGGAGATTCACAGGCTGTTTAGGGTGGTCACAGAAGGCTGCTCTGAGCAGCTGGTGCTTAAACTGAGGCTTAAAAGACAAGAAGGCACTGGGCAAAGGGTGGAGGACGCAAGACTCCAGGCGGAGGGAAAACCCAGCGCAAAAGCCCGGGACAAGACTGGGGCCAAAGGGAGGAACAGAAAGGCTTCGTGAGTATTGTCTCAGGTAAACCTTCTAACAACCTCGAACAGGGGAGTGCTACGCTCATTTCCATCTGCAGTTGGGGAAACTGAGGATCGTGGAGGTCGAACAGGGTGTCCAGGGTCACATAGCAAATCCAGGACAGAGGCAGGACTTTGACCGAGAACACCATGGTATACAAGCCAAGACTTGCTTTTCCGAGGTCTGTAAAGACAAGGGTCAGCAAGGACACGCCCAGCCCACCGGCAGACACCGGCCCAGCGGCCCCCATGCCCAGAGGCCCGGGCGCGTGGCGCTCACACCGCTCCTGGGTGAGTGAGGCACCTCACTTCGTAAACCCCAGTTGCTGGGCCCATTCTGGCAGGAGGCACGTTCTGTCACATGATGCCTCGGCCAGCACTCTTTCCCATCCCAGGTCAGGCTGTTTATCCTTTCTTCAGGGAGCGCATCTGAAATACGCATCTCGTGACAGCCTTTTGGCTGCACTAAATCTGTTCCAGGCCATGCAACCGGAACAGCAGCAGAATCACTTGAAGGGGGGACACGGGGAGAAGAGAACAAAGGCGTTTATAAGTTTTGGAACAGAGCTAACATGAAAGGTCAAAAGAAGGTTTTCGTTGGGCCTGACCCAGGTGCTGGGGAGAATGTGTCGGGGGTGGGGGGTGCAGGAACGACACACAAGGGCGGATCCGGGCCCGTGGACTCTGGCTCACTGACTGCTCCCCACGCCCCCCATCTGCTGCCACCACCCTCAGGCCAGAGCCCCCGTATTCCCAGACTGATCTGTCTAGCCCGACAGGGAGTCAAGACCTTGCCACCAGGAACCCCATGGGCACTCTTGGGGCTGACCACCTGGGGCTCTGTCACCTTAGGGTGATTGTGAGCAAATAGCTCCTCTCTTCTAAGCCTGGCTGTTTTTTCTGTGAAATGGGAAGACAGGAGCCCTGCCCCACCCCACCCTAACTGTGTGCTTAGGAGGGCGGCGCTGAGTAGTGGTGATGGAAAGCCTCCGCAGGGCGCTCCGCAGCCTAGCTCAGCGCCTGGGGCGGGTGGCACCAGGCAGATCTACCGAAGAATGAAGGCCCCGAACATTGACTTCTGGCCACAAGGAGACACTCCGATTATCATCTCAAAGGGGAGAGTCTGAGAAGGAAGTTATTCAGAGATGATGTCATCAGCACTGGATGGAATGAGAGTTCCCTTTCTCACAGGGAGAAGAGCCACATGTCCAGAGATACTGCGAATTATCACAAATATCAGGGCCGGATCCCTCAGGGACGCTGGAGTGATGGCCAGAGATGTTAACCACGTGGCCCACATGCCACTGCCCTGCCCCCCACATCACTCACCAATGTGGCCTCTGTTCTGTCCACACCCAAATCTTCCTTAACACCGCCCTCCGGGCAATAACTGTCGTTCCTCATTTCCTCATGAGGAAACCTATTTGCCATTCTTTTGGGGGGGGGGAGGAGAAGAGGAAGGTCCAGGAAACAGACTTGTCAAGGTCACACAGCAAGTCAGAGTGGGGGTCAAGGGCTTCCCAGGCACCAGGCACCGTGCAAAACTGAATACAAGGTGGCACGGACCTCAAGGAGCACCTCCAACGGGCTGGACAAAGTCAACACGAGTAACAAAAGGCCTCCTCCCTCTCCTCAGCCCTCCCTGGGGGCTCCAGCTTGGGAAAGGCCGTTCCGCCCACGGCGTCCACAGCGTCCATCAGCGCCGAGGCTAATCCATCACTGGGGCCGCGCCACCTCTCCTCTTCCCGGGCCCATCAGCCAGGCTCTCCCTGCTCCGCTTGGAAGTGGAGTGCAAATTAATGGAGAGTTAATCAGCGGAGGAAAGGGTATTAATAGACTCAGCCCCACCCCAGCCTTCCTGAGCGGCTCTCAAGCCAGAGGAAAAGGAGTCTTCGAGAAATCTGCGGGAAAATTGCTTCCCTCTGAAGGCCCAGGGGGGCCTGCAAGGAATGACACAGGACAGGGTTTCTGCTACAAGGGCCAGAGAACACTCAAAAATCCCCCCTTGTCCTGGGGGGCTCAAATAGGGTGCAGAAAGCCCAGGGTATCAGTTCTTCCCCATTTTTTTCTGCCAGGAGGTCCATATAGTTCATCAGAGTCTAAAAGGGCCTTGCGACCCCCCTCCCCACCAGATGAAGAACCACTGATCAAATCCACATCCCTTCTTCATTCCTCACATGGGGAAACTCAGGCCCAACCTTGGGAGCTACTGGCCCAAGACCACACGGCAAACTGTGATAAAACAACCAAATGCCTGCTTCCCCCCCAAAATTACTTAGTGATGGTTACAGCTCTGGCCCAGGGACTCTGGGAACACAGAGAAACGGAAGACACCCATCTCTGCCTTCTTAGTTAACACTGTTACGGTGGCTTGTCCTCCACACTCCTAGTCTATTTCCATAGCAATGGCGCCATTTGACTGAGGGCATACAGCTCTGACGCAGGGGGGCACCTCTAGGATTCCCACTGGTCAAATGAGAAAAGTGAGCTTGTGGCCGATAGAGAAGCCCAGCTTGAGGTTTGTGGCATAGGTCACGCCTGGTCCTTGGCAGGAAAGAAAGTATCACAATCAGTTCAACACATGTGGTCGAGTCCTTCCAACGTACGAGGGCTCCAGAGACTAACGAGATGCTGTTTGTCCTCCAAGAGCTCAAGAGTCTACAGGACATCTAGAGACATGGGCACACACGTGCACGCACAGGCACACACAAGATGGGAGCCCGGGAGAGGAAGTAACTCACCAGATGCCTAAGGAGGTGACATGAGAGCTGGGCATTGAAGGAATTACTCATCTGATCGATATTTATGAAGTCACGAGAAAGTGCCAGGCTCTGTGCATTAGAAGCACACAGTACCATCATGGCCCCCACAGTCATGGGGTTTACGACGTGTGTGTGGCAGAGGGTCAGGATCACAGAATCACACGCACAGGGATGCAGCACTGGGCAATGGGTGGAAGGGGCCTGGGCTTGGGAGAGCAGGCGGGTGTGCACACCATGACGGGGAGAGGGGCTGGGTGGGCAGAGCTTGGGCAGGGTCCTCTCCGTCTGCGAGGGTTCTGCCTTCCTTGCTGGGCTGGGAGCCCTGGGGCCACGTCAGGCTCACTTCTGTCCAAGACCATTCCATGCACACAGTAGGACTTCGGCAGGGGCTTACTGGTGGGTCTGGCCAGTCTGAGGTCAGGGGGTAGTGGTCCCCACGCAGCATCTAAGCCTCTCTCACTCATCAGGTCTCTATAACCTGAAAGCATTTTCTGGAAGTCAGCCCCCTCTGAGCAAGAGGGATAGCGTAGGTCTCATCCTTATTGTTCAGATAAAGAAAGGAGGTCCCTGGCCAGAGTGAGAACGAGAGCCCAGCCCTGATGCTCCTCATAGGGTTGGCAGAGATGTTGTGCATCAGTGAGGGGTATGGCTTCCTCAGTCTTCACCCACCCTCTCCTAGCTGTGTGGCCTTGGGCAAGTTACTTAACCTCTCTGAGCTTCACCTGCCTCACCTGTAAAATAGTCTTGGGAAAAATCCAAACTCCTTACCACGGTCCACAAGACCCTGTGTGATCTGGCCCCTGCCCACCTCTCTATCTCCCAGAGTGTTCCCCCGGGCTACTACCCACCAGCTTTACTCTTCCTCAACACAGCAAACTTTCCTGCTTCCTGGCTCTGCACTCACTGCTTCCTCTGCCTGGAAAACTCTGTCCCTGAGATTTGACCTTCATATGGTGACTCCATCCCATCCTGCAGCTGAGGCATCACCTCCTCAGAGAGGCTGTTCCTGGCTGGCCAGTCCTCAGATCTCTTCTCACACCTGGCTCAGTCCTTTCGTGCCCATGTCACAGTGCCCACAGTTTCCGTGTTAACTGATCCGCAGTCAGTTTTCTCTCTAGATTGTAGACAGCACAGTGCCTGATGCACAGAAAGAGTTTCCATTTCTAGAAGGAAAGCTACAATACGTCGGAACTAGATGAGATGGTGCTGATGACACACCAGCATGGCCTTTGACACCCAGTACATTATTGTTAATGCCAGACAGGCCTGGGGAGTTAGAGCCTCTCCCCAGAGTCTTTATAGGTAAGCATATTTCAAGGAAAGCATAATAAATCGGGATGTACCCATCACTCCACTTCACCACGGCCCATCTTATTTTTTATTTATTTTGTTATTTATTTTGAGAGAGAGAGAGAGAGCACGAACAGGGGAGGGACAGAGAAAGAGGAAGACAGGGAATCCCAAGCAGGTTCCACACTGTCAGCGCAGAGCCCGATGTGGGACTCAAACTCACAAATCGCACGAGATCATGCCCTGAGCCAAAACCACAAGTCAGATACTTACTGACTGAGCCACCCAGGCGCCCCCAATGACACGGTTGGTCTTATTTCACATATTACCCTCCAGCCACACACACACACATGCAAATGCATGCAGAACTTGCTTTGTTTTGGAGAAAGTCCCAAATGTCACATTATTCCATATTAGAGGGCCTCTTAAAGGAAACGTCACCCACCATGTGCCCCCAGGACTGGACACGGAGCACACAAGGTGAGAGGCACTGACATGCATACCAGTTCTCAGCACTGCCTCTTTTTTTAAAAAAGTCTCTAGGCTCCAATTGGAAAATGAAGATAACTGTACCTGTTCTAAGAGTTGTTAGGAGAATTAAATGCGCTACACACGACAGGGACAGTCCTGCCACACAGCAGTTGTTCAACACGTGTGAGTCACCTCCATTATAGCATCACCGTGGTTACAAAGCACTGGCTCAGGACGTAGGCAGACTGGGTTTGCATCTAGCTCAGTTCTGACTAGGTAAATCGCCCTAGGCACATGCCATTACTTCCCCAAGCCTCCTCGTCCTCATCTATAAAATGGGTTCAGAATCACACTTGCCTCCCAGGGTAGGGCTGAGAATTTGGTGAGATACTATAGGAAAGGGAGGTCTTGAAACCACCCCGGCCCACAGTGGGGCTCACTTCCGACAGGGTGGTATAGCAGGAGCAGCTCCTCCCGGCCCCCACTGTCCAGAGGCGAGAACAGGTTCAGCAAGGGGCTGAGAACTGCCCAAGATCAAGGGCAGATCCAGGACGAGAGGCGGGGTCCTGAGAGCTTAGTTGGAAGAGGAGGCTTCTTTGCCGGAGCAAGTGCAAAAGAAGGCAGGCGGGGCGGAGCCAGGCCTTCAGGAGAGGAGGGGGGAGGCTCAGGCCGTACCTGGAAGAGCTCTGAGTCTTCAGGGCTGTACTGGCTGGGTTCAGCCTCGCAGCTCTCCGGGCACCACTGCAGCTCCCCGAAGCAGGTGGCAGAGTCAAAGTCGCCGGCGTCCAGCTGGGAGAGATCAAGCTCGGGAAAATCAGCGCAGAGTTGCTCCTCTCCGGGCCCCCCACCCTGAGGAGACAGGAAGGAAGGAGGCAAGTCAGAGCTGCATCCAAGCACAGACCCTCTTTCTCATGGTGCTCCCAGCCTGGACCTCGGGCAGCCCTTGGCCAAGGCCCGACTTTGCCATGTGACCAAGAACTGTAAAGGCGGGCCCCAGTGCTCTTGCAACTATTGAATCTACCAGGAACCAAGTCAGGCCCAGGCAACACAAATCCTGTGCACTGCTCTCTCCTCTCCCCACTTTGCACTCCTACACATCCCTCAACGCCTTTTTTCTGCAGCACCTCTTTTCTCTTACCGGCACTGTTGTGTTGGAAACTTCAATAGGAACTGCAAATAGATACTTATTTACGTTACTGTCCCCACCTGCAAAGGGGTTTCTAGGATGCGACATTAATAATGAAACAAAAACAGCAATAATAACAGTTGACATTATGGCATGATTACGATATTCTGGAGCAATAGTCAACCACGTTCTCAGGGGTTTTACTGGTATTATGTGTCATGTCTACAATGTGGAAGAGTGCTCATCCGTGGACGAAAGGTAAATGAAGCTATTATCACCTGTAGCATGGAATAACACAATGCTGTTGAAAAGAACGAGGACCTATATGCTCTGAAGACATGTTAAACAGAAATAAAAACCAAATCACAGAAGATAGCAGGTTGCATGTTAGCCCACCTGTGTAAAGAGGGAAAAAAACTGCACAATTCTTGTGTACAATGGTACATATGCAAATACACAGGAAAAGGTCTTCAAGGCTGTAAGCCCACCTGCCAGTGGTGACTGGGGTAGAAGGGAGGCACGGAGGACTGTGGTGACAGCACAGACTGAACCAGTGTTTCTCAAAGTGGGGTCCCAGGGCCGGCAGTGTGGACACCCCTTGGGACGGTGTTAGAAATAAGGCAAATTCTCAGGCCCAACCCCAGACTCCCTGAATCAGAAGGCGATGGCTTTCTCATTTGGCCTCCCACATTTAACAACTACCAGTAGAAGGACTGAGACATGGCCCAAGCTGGGAGGCTCACAGAAACAGCATAAGACAGGCCTTGGGGTCCAGCAGACCTGAATTGTAATCTCCACGCACCCGCTGTGAAACCTAGGCCAAGTCTCTTTTCCTCTCTGAAGCTCAACTGCCTTACCTGTAGAATGGGACACCACCAGCCTCATATGGTTAAGATTAAATAAGGCGATTGAGCCTCCTGGCTCAGGAGGGGCTCAATAAATGGGAGCTAACAGTAATTACAGCAAGTAAGACTAATACAGGGCACCTGGGTGGCTCAGTCGGTTAAGCGTAGGACTTCAGCTCAGGTCCATGATCTCATGGTTCGTGAGTTCGAGCCCCGCACTGGGCTCTCTGCTGTCAGTGCAGAACCTGCCTTGACTCTTCTGTTCCTGTCTCTGCACCTCCCCCTCAAAAATAAACATTTTTTAATGTTTTATTTATTTATTTTTATTTTTTAATATTTTTATTTATTTCTAGGAGAGAGAGAGAGAGAGACAGCATGAGCAGGGGAGGGTCAGAGAGAGGGGGAGACACAGACTCTGAAACAGGCTCCAGGCTCTGAGCTGGCAGTCAGCACAGAGCCCGATGCGGGGCTCAAACCCACGAACCGTGAGATCATGACCTAAGCGAAAGCTGGATGCTTAACCGACTGAGCCACCCAGGCACCCCATGTTTTATTTATTTTTGAGAGCAAGAGAGACGGTGCACGAGCAGGGGTGGGGCAGAGAGAAAGGGAGACATAGAATCCAAAGCAGGATCCAGGCTCTGAACTGTCAGCACAGAGCCCGACATGGGGCTTAAACTCACAGACCAGACTGAAAGATTGTGATGTGAGCCAAAGTTGGTCGCTTAACCGACTGAGCCACCCGGGTGCTCCAAAAACAAACATTAAAAAAAGAAAGAAATAGGGGTGCCCAGGTGGCTCAGTCAGTTAAGTGTCCAACTTCAGCTCAGGTCATGATCTCAAGGTTTGTGAATTCAAGTCCCACGTCAGGCTCTGTGTTGACAGCTCAGAGTCTGGAGCCTCCTTTGGATTCTGTGTGTGTCTCTCTCTGCCCCTCCCTACTCTCACTCTCTTTCTCAAAACTGGATAAACATTAAAAAAAATGTTTTTTAATTCAAAAAAGAAAAAATAATAATGCCAACAGTGTTTCATGGTGGGCAGAGAAGGTAGAACTGCCTTATAGAACGAAAAAAACGCCTATGTGACACTTAAAAGAAATAGGTTTTGCACAGGCCTTCTCCTTAATTGTTCCCACTTACTAAGCCTCATAAATTATGAACAAATGTATATTATTAGCTCAACTTGACACAGGAAAAAGGCTTTTATCTGAATTTGGGTCAAATGTCTTAATTGGCATTTTGCAAGAATCCTGTATCCACGGGCAGCACCAGGGCCAGGTTCCCTTAAGTGGCTGGTCCCCTGCTCCGACAAGGGTACCATGGTGCTCTGTGAGCCTCTGTCTCCAGGGACAAGCCCTCCTACCCCCACCCCGGGATCGATTTCTACCACTTCTGGTCATGCCCAGCTGCCTCGGCCGCAGGGAACACTCAGGCGACTCTCAGCCACGGCGGCTTCCTTCTCCTCTCTGTCCCGTCAGACTGTGGGATGCAGTAGGTGCCTGTTCTAGATGGATGATTGGTTTGTTTCTAGTCCTTGGCGACTGTGAGTGATCACGTCTGCAATACATGTGTACAAGTCTTTGTGTGCAGGTATGTTTTTCGTTCCCTTGGGTAAATATGTAGGAGTGGCAATGCCGGGTCATAAATGTATGTGGCTTTATAAAAATGACAAAATTGTTCTCCCAAATTGCTGTATGTACCACAGTACATGCTCACCAGCTGTGCGAGAGTGTCAACTGTTCCACACCCTTCCCAGCCCTGGGTGTTGTCACAGGCATTTTAATTTTAGCCATGCTAGTGAGTGCCTTCCAGCATTTATTAAATGCTACTATGAGCCAGGCGCTGGGACGTGTAACACTCAGTTTAATCCTGGGGCGCCTGGGTGGCTCCGTCAGTTAAGCGTCCAACTCTGGCTCAGGTCATGATATCATGGTCCATGAGTTCGAGCCCCATGTCAGGCTCTATGCTGACAGCTCAGAGCCTAGAGCTGCTTCGGATTCTGTATCTCCCTTTCTCTCTCTGCCCCTTCCCTGCTTGTACTCTGTCCCTCTCTCAAAACTAAATAAACATTAAAAATTTTTTAAAAAGTAAAGAATCCGTTGATTCCTTCACAAGTCGACATCTTGGCAGGGAAGAAAACGCATACAGATTTGATTGTAGATTGAGTTAGCGCCATGAAGGAAACAGGCCAGGTGCCCTGATGGAGAGCAAGAGAGGGAAGCGAAGTCTCTGATAGTGTGGGTCAGGAAGGGCTCCCCAGAAGAGCCGACATTGAGTGGAGACTTGGAGGAGTCAGGCGGTGGAAGATGTGGGGAAGAACGTTCCAGGCAGAGGGCCCAGCAAGGCAAAGACCCAAGTGTGGGCTGAGCCTAGAGCACGAGGCACTGACCAAAGGTTGGTGAGGCTGCAGCTTGGGGCGTGAGGGGGGGATGGGAGAGATGCCTTCGGAGAGGCAGGTGGAGGCCGGATCAGGTGGGGATTGGAAGGGATTTGGGTTTTATTCCAAGCGTGATGGGGGTGGGGCCAGCAGGGAAGCAGGCGGATGTAGCGCCCAGGACAGGGACAGGTGGTGGGGCTGGGGGGTAACCCTTAGGCGCACCAAGCACCTGTGGAGAGGGAAGGAGGGCCAAAGCAGAGACACGTGAGCACTGGACGGCTGGGGTCTCATCAGCCAGCAAAGCCCTCAGCCCCTTGGGGAGCTCTTTCTATGTCCCGAATCCCTCTCATCCCAGTGACTCAGAGAAGCCACACCTGTAGGACTTCCTTCTTGAGGCTTCAAAACCACTTTAAAATCAGAGTCCCAGGGTGGCGAGGAATCGGACGCCCTGAGAGGCAGTCCGGCACAATCACTGTGGGCCATCTGAGAGTCAGAGGCCCCCTCAAGAACCAGATGCAAGCTACGGACAGCTTTTACGCTACCCATAAAATACGCCTGAGCAATGCATGCGCGTGCAAGAAATTCATACTTCTAGGTCTTCATGAACGCAGCGTAAGGACACCTGGCCGGGCCACTCTCCCTCCTTCACTTTGCAGATATGGAAACTGAGGCCCAAGGAGGACAACAGATTTGCTCAGGGTCACCCAGGGAGTGTCCTTCCCATCAAAACCATGCTGCCTCTTTACAAAACACCCATAGAATGGCCATGACGGCTGCATTTATTGATTAGCCACGGCAGCTCAGCATATGCTAAGTGTACCCAGGACATAAAAATAAAGAAACCTCAGCTTCGCGGCCTTGGCAATTAGGGCTGAGGCCACTCTCTAGCTAAAAACCATTAGACATTGCATCAATAGTGATTTCTCTGGCCCTCTCCATATCTGGACAGGCTTTGGAAGGGGTGCCTTGGGTGACCCAGTTCTCCTGGAAAGGTCTGACTTGGAGCCTCCTTGTTCTTTACCAGCCATCTTCTGCGGCCCCACCAGCAGAGCTGGGAGGTCACAGCACAGGACCACCAGCCACTGCTATCACTGAGCGCTTACCAAACTCCAAGGGCCATGCTAAGTACCTTATGTGCATCCTCTCATCAGATTCCTTAAAATAACCCTCCAGGGCAGATGTCATTGTCCCCGGTTACTAATCAGGAAACTCAGAGATCCTCAGAGTCACTCTCATTCGGGGACCGGGGCTGCTGTAACAAAGCACCACGGGCTGGTGGCCCAATTTTTTTTTAGTTTATTTATTTCTTTTTGAGAGCTGTCAGCACGGAGTCCAATGTGGGGCTCAAACCCACAAACTGTGAGACCATGACCTTAGCCGAAACCAAGAGTGGGACGCTTAACTGACTGAGCCACCCAGGCACCCCTGGCTGGGTGGGGCTTAAACAGCAGAATTTTTTTTTTTTTCTCTTCCAGTTCTGGAGGCTGGAAGGCTGAGCTCAA